CCCAGCGTCGGTCAGTGTGTCTCTCTCTCCTCTTCTCCCCGCGATACCCTCCCCCTCCCCCCAGCGTCAGTCAGTCAGTACTACTAAGCCCCCTCCTTATCTTTACGTCCAGCAGCTGTGCTCCACTGCTGCTGGGTTAAAGAAAGTTCAGTCAATGTAAAAAAAAAACAAACAAGGTACCAAGTGCACAGGGGGGGCCACAACCTTAAAAACTACACTACACTGCAAATTATACATTAAACAGAAATAAAACAATCTAGCTTGAAGCCCAGGCCTCCTGGGCCCCTCCCCCCAGCGTCAGTCAGTCAGTACTACTAAGCCCCCTCCTTATCTTTACGTCCAGCAGCTGTGCTCCACTGCTGCTGGGTTAAAGAAAGTTCAGTCAATGTAAAAAAAAAAAAACAAGGTACCAAGTGCACAGGGGGGGCCGCAACCTTAAAAACTACACTACACTGCAAATTATACATTAAACAGAAATAAAACAATCTAGCTTGAAGCCCAGGCCTCCTGGGCCCCTCACACAAGTACCGGCCGTACCCCCCTGATGGCAGTCCTGGCTGGGGACTTGGATCGTGACCCCCCTGTTCACTTGCGGGACCCCATATGGGGTCGCGACCCACACTTTAAGAAGCACTGCTCTAAAACACTGGGGGTAGAATCCCTGATCAATGTTCCCTTATTTGTCTTGAACAAGATACCATCGTGTCAGGACCTTAATGTTCGCTTCAATTAAGGAAACATTAAGAAGGCCTCTTCATGATCTTGTACAACATTGATGCCACTCCTCCGCGAAATCTCATTCCCATGCTGCGATATAAGATAATTTGTACGGTAAGCCCATTAAAATAGAGGAAATATGTGCAATTTCTCCCCTCAGGGTTCCGGGGTGTGTACACCAGTATTCATATGTGGGCACGGCTGGTGATAAAGGGCCCAGCGATTATATAAATTGACTAATCTGCATAAAATGAAATCACTCAGTTGGTGGCATGCGCAGTCTTTCCCTACAATATGCCAAAGAGATAGGTGTACGATGTCTAAAAAAATTCCCCAATCCGATACAATCCTATGTCCAACCACAATTTAAAGGCTTGTGGCTGAAATGCTGTAGGAAAATTCGGATTGTAGAATAGAGGAGGTAGGGGCGTATGTGGTGACAATAAACTATAACATCTTCTTAACCTATCCCAAAAAAAAAATATAGACTGAGACAATGTAGGGGCTAAAATTACAGGACGTTGTTTGGGAGAAAGCCATTTTAATAAACTGATGGGAACATTAGCAGCTGATTTTAGTTTCCATAGATACCCAATCTGGGGGTTCTCCTTGGGAGTACACTGTGGATAGTTGTACCAACTGAGCTGCCTGATAATATAACCATAGATTCAGCACTCCCAGGCCTCACCGATTTGCTCGTCCTGAAGGTAACCATTTTGGAGAGGATTACAGTTTCAGGATTTCGGCTCTGCGTATAGCAATTGGCAAAGATCTAAAATAATAGAACCTTAGGAAGTAATATCATTTTAATTGCATTTATCCAAACTAGGCATGATAAATTATATGAAGACCATTTTTTTAAAGCTATCTAGCAGTTGTCGATTTATGAAAGGATAGTTTGATAGATAAACTTACGAAAAATGGGATGGAAGTTGAATTCCCAAATATTGCAAGGAGGCGATGTTCCAGATGAAAGGGGACGCGGAGCATATATATGTGACCAGACATCCATCGACAGGTTTATATTCAAGCCTACAGATTTGCAGTAATAGCATTGATCTGAAGCATAGAAATAGTTGCATAAGCCTCCAGAATATGCATTAAATTAGGTAAAGATATCCTGGGGGAGATAAAAAATAATAGTACATCATCCTCAAGCAAGGTGCATTTATGTTCTTGTTCACCACAATATACATCTTTTATATCGGGACATTCTCTGAGAGCTATCGCCAGAGGATCCATAATTATAGCAAAGAGAAGAGGAGAAAGAGGGCACCCTTGTTTGGTACCTCTGGATATAACAATTGGATCTGAGAGATAGCCTTCTATTCGGATTATTGCTTGAGATTTAGAATAAAGGTTTTGCATAATTTGCAAAAACAAGGGGCCAAAGCCCCACCTCTCTAACACTTGAAACATAAAATAAAGCCAAGATACCGAATCAAATGCCTTCTGGAGGTCTATTGAAAGTAACATCCCTTGCTGTGGGTTACCCCCATCCCATTTAGAATGTAAAAGTGTTATGATGTCAAGAGCTCGCCTAATTTGATTTGACCCTTGTCTACCTGCAATAAATCCTGCCTGATCCCGATGGATATAGGAATGTAGGAAGGATTTCAATCTGTTAGCTAAAATCTTAGTCAAAAGTTTAAAATCATTATTAATTAAAGAAGTTGGTGTGTAGTTAATTTCACCAGGTTCCTTATTGGGTTTGGGAATTAAACTAATAAATACTTTTTTCATCTCTAAATTTAGCTCTGTACTTGTCTTGAGTGTATTAAAAAGAGATTCAAGGTGTGGCACTAGAATATCCAACTTTTTTTAATAATAAAAAGCAGAAAAACCATCTGGACCAGGCGCTGAGGATATTTTTGTTTCCTTAATCGCTAGCGTAATCTCATCTCCAGATATAGGTTACTCTATAAGAGATTTATTTTGAGGTGACAATACAGGAACTGAAAGGTTAGCAAGACAATTTGAAATAACTGTTCATGAAGGAACAGAGGTTTCTCTACAAAGATTCAAAAAATTATTATGGAATTCTTGCAATACTCGTTTCGGATTATAGGTGCATGTTCCTTGGGCACACCTTATTTTAGGGATAGTAAGGTGATGGAGTTTAGAAGATAATTTATTAGCTAATGTTCCTATTTGATCTCTCTGAACATATAATTTATTGTCCGACCATTGAATACTTTTCTCCGCCTTAGTGGTCAAAAGCAAATTAAGCTCTCGACGAGTTTTTTCAATACTACATAAGATCTCGGGGTCGGGGGAGCTTTTAGGAGCTTGAACCAAACTTTGCAGTTCTCGCTCAAGCTCCACAATAGATGACTGCTTGTTTTTTAATTGTCAAAGCACAGTTACTTTTAAGGCATGCCAACGGTCAAGGTTGCCTTTGTACTTATTTCAGCTCTAAACTGAATTTTCAAGCCCTAAATGGCTGGTGTCCTAGCTGATTACACGTGCAGGACCATGGCAACTACAATCCAAATAGAGGCTAAGATGGCCCCTTCCTTGGCTGTAAGGGATAGGAGTGTGTAGTTCTGCTTCAAGTATATATGCACAGAACTCCAATAGCAGTGTGAATCGTGTTGAGTAGAGCCTGCAACCGATATTAGATGGCCATTAGAATTATTACGGACAGACTGAAATGCATTTATGCCTTAAAATCGCTTGTAAGAAATTTCACTAAATGTGCTGCAGCTTTAATTAAGTTCCTTTTTAAAAGAATATTTATTTGGCAGCTTTCCTTTAAATTAAATCAATTAGTTATAAGGTGGAATAGATCACAGAAACTGTTGTCTTAGAGCTTGTTCACACCAGATGTACATTCATGCATTTTTGTCTATTTTCTGATGTAGCCAAAATGCACGGACATTATATAACCTATTATTTTATATAGGACCTCTTCACACCAACGCACTGTGTTGCAGTGAGTTGGAAAAAAGTCCTTTGTGCTTAATTTTTGGTTTGTTGACCTGAAAAAAAAGCAATGCATTCAACACAAAGGATGTTGTTTATGGTCTGGTATGAATAAGATGTATACTTCTGTCTGTTGAACATTTCAAGTACCTACTGCTTTGTGCCATAGGAGAGAACAAATTGTATTCAAGATATTGATCAGAATGCTTAGCTCAATATTATGTGACTAGTTTTGTCAAGCAGAAACTAAATGCCATCCTGTATTAATGAAATGTAATATAATACACCAACTATTTTTTCCCCACAGGCTGTGGAGAGTTGCTAAGGAAGTTTCATCTGCCATCAAAGTATTACCTCACCCATCTTTTGTTTACACTTCAAAGTTCCACCCAATGTCTGATGACCTGGTTGTCACTGGATGCTATGATGCTGTGATTAGGGTGTGGAATGTAAAGGTGAAGGAGATCAATGGACAGCTTCTTCAAGAGTTTGAGGGTCATAAAAGTTTCATCAACACCCTTTGTTTTGATGTGGAAGGTGTGTTCTAAGTATCTGTTATTCCTTCTATGTGTATGGCTGTTTTACACCTTTTGTGCATTGCATGCAGTGTGTGCGTTGGTGATAGGAGCATTCCAAAATTTTTTGGTATTTAGGGATCAGACTTAGAAGAATGTCTAATACAGATAGAAGCAGAACTTTTAGCTGCCTTTACTAGTAAAGTAACATACTAGTAACGGTATGTTAATAATAACATACAGTTATGGCCAAAAATATTGGCACCCCTGCATTTCTATCTATCTATCTACAGAAATGCAGGGGTGCCAATATTGTTGGCCATGACTGTACATAATACTTTGCTTCTGGTTTAATTTAAGCTGCTACTGATTTGCATTGAGTAGAGTCTGAGTTGCCTCAAGCTGCATCTGAGATACCTTGAGCTGCTTTTGCATTTACATTACAGGTATGGGGAATAAAATTCCACATAAACGAGTACCTTCCTAATGCAGCAGTTAAATGATATTTCTCTCCCGTTCATTGAAGGACACAGGACAACAGATCGTAGATCCTGAATGGTAGGGTATATCGAAACCTGCAGGATTAGGACGCTAGGCACATAACAAAAAGACAAAGACAAGACAGCCTAGGGGTGGCCCCTGCTGGTGGCCCAACCCCTCACTTGCTGACAAGTCTCCAGTTTTTTGCCTAGCGTCAGGAGTAAGGAGCTGGGTTTGGTCCTGGACACTGTCGCGGCCCGGGTCTTTCTTCCTCGGGACAAGCTCCTGAAACTCCGTTCCAAGGTTCGGCTACTGAGGACTCGCCAATGGTCGCCCATTCGCTTTTGCATGCAGGTCCTGGGTCATGGTGGCCTCCTTCGAGGGGGTGCCCTTTGCGCAACATCATACCAGGACCCTGCAGAGGAACATCCTGGTGCAGTGGGACAAGTTCCCCCTGTCCTTGGACGGGGAGATTCGGATCTCTCGGGAGGCAAGGGCCTTCTTGCGGTGGTGGCTTCAATCACCGGCCTTGGTGCCGGGGAAGTCTTTCCTTCCCGTGCACTGGACGGTGGTCACCACAGACTCCAGACCTGCGTGGCTGTTGAGAGCCGGGTCTTGAAGGACCGGGGGTTGTCCGATGCGGTCGTCTCCACTATGCTCAGGATGCGCAAAGCGGTCTCTCGGAGGATTTACCATCGTACATGGAGGGCTTATTTTGCCTGGTGTGAGGCTGGGGCACTGTCCCCGCGTTATATTCTCCGTCAGCAGAATTCTTGCTTTCTTGCAGCGCGGGGTGGCTCAGGGGCTGGCCTTGAGTACTGCGAAGGGCCAGATCTCTGCCTTAGCGGTGCTGTTCCAGCGGCCTTTGGCGTCTTACGCTCTGGTTTATACCTTTTTGTTCAGGAGGTGACGCGCATTGATCCCCCCGTCCGCTCGCCTTTGGCTCTGTGGAACCTGAATCTCGTGCTTTCCGTGTTGCAGGAATCTCCTTTTGAGCCTCTTCGGGAGATTCCGCTTTTGTCCTTGTCACAGAAGGTGGCCATCACTTCTGTGCGGCGGGTTTCGGAGTTGGCTTCCTTGTCCTGCAAGTCTCCGTTGCTGGTGTTGCATAGGGACAAGGCGGTTCTCCGTCTTAGGCCGGCCTTCCTGCCTAAGGTTGTGTTGGCATTCCATCTGAATGAGGACATTGTCTTACCTTCCCTGTGCCCGAAGCCGGTTCATAGGAAGGAACGTGCGCTCCACTGTTTGGACGTGGTTCGCGCTCTTCGTGTCTATTTGTAGGCTACGGCCTCTTTTCGTGAGACGGATTCCTTGTTTGTGCTCACGGTGGGCCCTCGTAAGGGTCTGGCCGCGTCAGCGGCTACCTTCTCTAGGTGGATTCGCACTGTGGTTATTCAGGCGTACGCTGTTAAGGGGCGTGAGCCTCCTTTCCCTGTCACTGCCCATTCTACTGGGCTGTGGGGGCCTCCTGGGCCTTTCGTCATGGGGCCTCGGTTTCTCAGGTTTGTAAGGCCGCTACTTGGTCTTCTGTTCACACCTTTTTGTTAAGTTTTACAAGGTGGACGTGTTTGCATCGGCGGATGTTGGTTTGGGGCGCAAAGTGTTGCAGGCGGCGCTTTGAGGGGTCTTTTGGGTGTTTTGTTTGTTGTTGCCCATCCCTCAGTGTGTTACTGCTTGGTGACGTCCCTACCATTCAGGATCTACGATCTGTTGCCCTGTGTCCTTCAATGAACGGGAGAGAAAATAGGATTTTTGTACTCACCGTAAAATCCTTTTCTCTCCGTTCATTGAAGGACACAGGTCCCGCCCTCTTTTGTGGGGTGTACACTCCTAACTGCTTGTTACTTACTGGAGACTTGTCAGCAAGTGAGGGGTTGGGCCACCAGCAGGGGCCGCCCCTAGGCTGTCTTGTCTTTTTGTTATGTGCCTAGCGTCCTACTCCTGCAGGTGGCGATATACCCTGCCATTCAGGATCTACGATCTGTTGCCCTGTCTCCTTCAATGAACGGAGAGAAAAGGATTTTCGGTGAGTACAAAAATCCTATTTTTACTACCTCTGCTTTTATGTACTGTCCTTTTTTTATAATCCTTGACTGACAAATGTCCTTAAAGTGACATTAAACCCTCAGATTTTTAAACATAAACCAATACTGTAATGTGTGCCTTACTGTAATCCATGGTTGTTTCCCTTCTCTTTGCTGCTCTTCCTTTTAAATCCTCATGTCTTCTCATGCTTGGGGAGAACTTCCCTTTGCAGCTCAGGGCCTATTCCTGTAGTGCTGGCTCAGGTTACAAACCTATACACAGACACCATATATCCATTCCTGAGACAAGGCAGTCTGCTGCAAAACGGAAGTTCTGCCCAGCATGAGAACAGATACAGATTTAAAAGGAAGAGCACCAAAGAGAAGGGAAACAACCATGGATTACAGTAAGGCACACATTACAGTATTGGTTTATGTTAAAAAATTTGAGGGTTTAATGTCACTTTAACTCTTAAACCTTAGAGTTTGAGTTAGGCTAACCTATCCATAAACCCTAGAATGTTGAACTTACCTTAACTCTACCAGTCCTGCTCTGAATTAGATTAAGAACTTGCCAAATCCAGCTGTTCCAAACCCTTTTACCTTTTAAAGTTATTTAAACAAAATTATAGATGCTTTCCATGTGTTGGACTAGAATAATATAGCTATGTAACTGGTGTCAGGTTGATCCTAGCAGTCACTTTTCTGTACCCGTGGGGGTCCTTATATTTGCTAATCAACACATTTTTACCCGTTGAAAAGATGTGAATTGAGGTTTAGCAAAGAATGAAAATGAGGGAGGGAGAGTGATTTTAAATATGGCTACAGGAACACACAGCAACTATGAAACATGTAGACAATGTGTAAAAGGGGAACTTGGACTTAAAAAAAAAAAATGTATCTGATAGGAAAAGTAAATTGCATGAATGCACAGCCCTTCTGGCAAGTTGCAAAAGCTCGCTATTACCATAACAAAGTTTCTTTATAAAGCCTCTCTGTTCCCCAGGCACTTAGTCATGGGTACACAGAAGACAAGATTATAAATTATAGTTAAGTTTACATCAGACAGATGCCCATATTTACATATGGAGCAGAATAACCCTAGGTCATATTCAATAAACCTCGTTCTTTCTGGGTTATGTTGATTTTGGCGTTTACAGCACTGCCAAATTCTGAATTTGGGATCAGTATATGCACAAAAGGTAACAATGGTAGATTTTCTCACAGTGCTAGTATTTGCAGTGGGCTCGAAAATAGTTATGCAAGTTACATACCAATTATTTGAAAAAATAGCACGTGTTAGTCTCCTTTCACACCTTTGTGCTCAAAAACGGCAAACCGTTTTGTGTGTGTGTGCCTGTGTTTTAATAGGTGTTTGTTCATTCATCTTTGTGCTTGAATGCTCATTGTTAATTCACAATGACCTTTGTTATACAAATTTTTACTGCAATATTTTGTCTATATGTTTTACATTTCCCTTCGGGGGATAGTTTGAAATTTACATTTTGCTCATGCAATATAAATTGCCAGAACACAAAATATGTGTGTTTTTGTACATATCCAATAAATATAGGTGCAGTGGTGCACTAACATAGAAGAATGCAGCCGAATATTCTATTTTACACTATGAAATACTGCATTGATATCAAGTACCTTGATTAGAGGAGATTTAAGGGACCTCTTCCAAAGCACCCACCTGATGTTAAAGTGTATGCATGCTGATATTGGCGTGGTCGGGGGCTGCATGCCTGTGGCTTTTTTTCACCTAGGCAATACCAGTCTTCATGCTTTATCTACACAGCTCACTACTACTTGAGAAGAGGGGCAGATAGAAAAAAGAAAAAAAAACTATCTAGTGCTAATTTCAATAAATCACGGGATTCCCACTACTGACATATCCACCATGAAAAATTATTGGTAAATTAATATGTGACATCACTAACTGTCATATATACATTTTGAGAAAAAATTAACATGGGAGCATATCCACTGTGGAAATGTTTATGCATAGACTGATACACTATATAGATTATATAGAGTTGTAGTAAATTAAACTCTGTTACGTAAATGGCAGCATGTGCAGCTGCTGTTTGATGAATATTCCATTATGAATGAGAAGAGCTAGACAGTACCTATATAATTATTAACAGGTTATATATCTCTTGATCATCACAGTTCAGAATAAGATGAGTGAATTACGTATCCATTCTTAATATCTTGCAATAATGAATACCTACAAACCAATGTTTTCCTTGTTTACCTGTTGTATTTTAGGCCTGCATATGTATTCAGGAGACAGCTCTGGACTTATTATAGTGTGGAATACCAGGATTAGTCCAAGTCTGCATCATAATCCATCCGAGCACTGGGCTATTTTAAAGGTAGGTATGTTGGGTTTTTTATAAGTCAATTAAAGTTTCAAAGGCTCAATGGCTGCTGGAAAAGAAACAGAATGCTGGTGGATCAAAAATGGTTTGCACCTGGGACATCACTAAGGTTATTCTCGTGCCTTTTGCTTTCAGTGTGAGAAGTGCATTCAAGTGGTACACCTGCTTCCAGCACAAAATGAGGCGGGTAAGCAAAATACTGGTACTAGTAGGTAAAGGTGTTACATGTTTTAGGTAATTAGTGTTGGAGTAAGGTTAAAGTGTTTCTAAATCCCAAAACAAATATGTAATATATTGTCATATTTTGCAGCTTACCAATCCTTAAATGTGGTGGCTGTATTGGTTTTCTTTTTCAAGCCTTTTTCCTTTATTTTCTCCTGGTGATTATTCCAAGAATGCACTTTCGTTCTCGAGTGGCAACCTTCATTCACCATACTGTATCAGATTCAGGACAACAAAAACCATAGAGGGCTACCGAACCCCGCCTGTGTGTTGCAGGCGGCGCTTTGAGGGGTCTTTTGGGTGTTTTGTTTGTTGTTGCCCATCCCTCAGTGTGTTACTGCTTGGTGACGTCCCTACCATTCAGGATCTACGATCTGTTGCCCTGTGTCCTTCAATGAACGGGAGAGAAAATAGGATTTTTGTACTCACCGTAAAATCCTTTTCTCTCCGTTCATTGAAGGACACAGGTCCCGCCCTCTTTTGTGGGGTGTACACTCCTAACTGCTTGTTACTTACTGGAGACTTGTCAGCAAGTGAGGGGTTGGGCCACCAGCAGGGGCCGCCCCTAGGCTGTCTTGTCTTTTTGTTATGTGCCTAGCGTCCTACTCCTGCAGGTGGCGATATACCCTGCCATTCAGGATCTACGATCTGTTGCCCTGTCTCCTTCAATGAACGGAGAGAAAAGGATTTTCGGTGAGTACAAAAATCCTATTTTTACTACCTCTGCTTTTATGTACTGTCCTTTTTTTATAATCCTTGACTGACAAATGTCCTTAAAGTGACATTAAACCCTCAGATTTTTAAACATAAACCAATACTGTAATGTGTGCCTTACTGTAATCCATGGTTGTTTCCCTTCTCTTTGCTGCTCTTCCTTTTAAATCCTCATGTCTTCTCATGCTTGGGGAGAACTTCCCTTTGCAGCTCAGGGCCTATTCCTGTAGTGCTGGCTCAGGTTACAAACCTATACACAGACACCATATATCCATTCCTGAGACAAGGCAGTCTGCTGCAAAACGGAAGTTCTGCCCAGCATGAGAACAGATACAGATTTAAAAGGAAGAGCACCAAAGAGAAGGGAAACAACCATGGATTACAGTAAGGCACACATTACAGTATTGGTTTATGTTAAAAAATTTGAGGGTTTAATGTCACTTTAACTCTTAAACCTTAGAGTTTGAGTTAGGCTAACCTATCCATAAACCCTAGAATGTTGAACTTACCTTAACTCTACCAGTCCTGCTCTGAATTAGATTAAGAACTTGCCAAATCCAGCTGTTCCAAACCCTTTTACCTTTTAAAGTTATTTAAACAAAATTATAGATGCTTTCCATGTGTTGGACTAGAATAATATAGCTATGTAACTGGTGTCAGGTTGATCCTAGCAGTCACTTTTCTGTACCCGTGGGGGTCCTTATATTTGCTAATCAACACATTTTTACCCGTTGAAAAGATGTGAATTGAGGTTTAGCAAAGAATGAAAATGAGGGAGGGAGAGTGATTTTAAATATGGCTACAGGAACACACAGCAACTATGAAACATGTAGACAATGTGTAAAAGGGGAACTTGGACTTAAAAAAAAAAAATGTATCTGATAGGAAAAGTAAATTGCATGAATGCACAGCCCTTCTGGCAAGTTGCAAAAGCTCGCTATTACCATAACAAAGTTTCTTTATAAAGCCTCTCTGTTCCCCAGGCACTTAGTCATGGGTACACAGAAGACAAGATTATAAATTATAGTTAAGTTTACATCAGACAGATGCCCATATTTACATATGGAGCAGAATAACCCTAGGTCATATTCAATAAACCTCGTTCTTTCTGGGTTATGTTGATTTTGGCGTTTACAGCACTGCCAAATTCTGAATTTGGGATCAGTATATGCACAAAAGGTAACAATGGTAGATTTTCTCACAGTGCTAGTATTTGCAGTGGGCTCGAAAATAGTTATGCAAGTTACATACCAATTATTTGAAAAAATAGCACGTGTTAGTCTCCTTTCACACCTTTGTGCTCAAAAACGGCAAACCGTTTTGTGTGTGTGTGCCTGTGTTTTAATAGGTGTTTGTTCATTCATCTTTGTGCTTGAATGCTCATTGTTAATTCACAATGACCTTTGTTATACAAATTTTTACTGCAATATTTTGTCTATATGTTTTACATTTCCCTTCGGGGGATAGTTTGAAATTTACATTTTGCTCATGCAATATAAATTGCCAGAACACAAAATATGTGTGTTTTTGTACATATCCAATAAATATAGGTGCAGTGGTGCACTAACATAGAAGAATGCAGCCGAATATTCTATTTTACACTATGAAATACTGCATTGATATCAAGTACCTTGATTAGAGGAGATTTAAGGGACCTCTTCCAAAGCACCCACCTGATGTTAAAGTGTATGCATGCTGATATTGGCGTGGTCGGGGGCTGCATGCCTGTGGCTTTTTTTCACCTAGGCAATACCAGTCTTCATGCTTTATCTACACAGCTCACTACTACTTGAGAAGAGGGGCAGATAGAAAAAAGAAAAAAAAACTATCTAGTGCTAATTTCAATAAATCACGGGATTCCCACTACTGACATATCCACCATGAAAAATTATTGGTAAATTAATATGTGACATCACTAACTGTCATATATACATTTTGAGAAAAAATTAACATGGGAGCATATCCACTGTGGAAATGTTTATGCATAGACTGATACACTATATAGATTATATAGAGTTGTAGTAAATTAAACTCTGTTACGTAAATGGCAGCATGTGCAGCTGCTGTTTGATGAATATTCCATTATGAATGAGAAGAGCTAGACAGTACCTATATAATTATTAACAGGTTATATATCTCTTGATCATCACAGTTCAGAATAAGATGAGTGAATTACGTATCCATTCTTAATATCTTGCAATAATGAATACCTACAAACCAATGTTTTCCTTGTTTACCTGTTGTATTTTAGGCCTGCATATGTATTCAGGAGACAGCTCTGGACTTATTATAGTGTGGAATACCAGGATTAGTCCAAGTCTGCATCATAATCCATCCGAGCACTGGGCTATTTTAAAGGTAGGTATGTTGGGTTTTTTATAAGTCAATTAAAGTTTCAAAGGCTCAATGGCTGCTGGAAAAGAAACAGAATGCTGGTGGATCAAAAATGGTTTGCACCTGGGACATCACTAAGGTTATTCTCGTGCCTTTTGCTTTCAGTGTGAGAAGTGCATTCAAGTGGTACACCTGCTTCCAGCACAAAATGAGGCGGGTAAGCAAAATACTGGTACTAGTAGGTAAAGGTGTTACATGTTTTAGGTAATTAGTGTTGGAGTAAGGTTAAAGTGTTTCTAAATCCCAAAACAAATATGTAATATATTGTCATATTTTGCAGCTTACCAATCCTTAAATGTGGTGGCTGTATTGGTTTTCTTTTTCAAGCCTTTTTCCTTTATTTTCTCCTGGTGATTATTCCAAGAATGCACTTTCGTTCTCGAGTGGCAACCTTCATTCACCATACTGTATCAGATTCAGGACAACAAAAACCATAGAGGGCTACCGAACCCCGCCTGTTTCCTCTTATCCATAACATAGATGATGTGGTTCTGTAGTCTTTAAAATAGCTAGGAACAATGTAACTTATAGTAGTCGGTAGAGACAGAGAGCACAGAAATGTATCAGCTAGCAAGGTTTGTTTCCCACTTATTGAACATATATTTACAAAAAAAATAGGGCTGCGGAAATTAACGATAAATCCCTCGATTAATCGTTAATTTTTTTGATCGATCAAAATTATTTTGATCGATCAAAGTTCTTTTGATCCGTACTCACCTCTCGGCCGGCTTCCGGGTCTTCCATCGGAGATCCGGTGATGTCACGGACATCGACGTCACCGGACTCCTCCCCCCTTCCCCAAGTGGCCGCCGGCTAACGAAGGGAAGGGGGGAGGAGTCCGGTGACGTTGATGTCTGTGACGTCACGTGACTCCTCCCCCTTCGTTACCCGATGGAGCCGCTTGGGCCGGTGAGTACACGGCTGCCCGGGAGAGAAACACTTTTTACCGGAAAGGTTTAATCTGCTCAATTGAGCAGATTAAACCTTTCCCTGTGATCGTTTTTTTTTTCTTTTCTGACATCGGGAGCCGCGGCCTGACCGTCAGTCAGAAAAGAAAAAAAAGGCATACGATTGCATAGCTAGATTCTTATTGGATACTATAGATACTACTGCATTGAGCTTCCTTTTTAATTAAAAGTAGAATCCACAATAATTTCCTTTTTATATTTTATTTTAGGAAATAAAAGAAACTGATATGAAAGGAATTGCTGTGAATCAATTACAGGTTCATCCAAATGGGAGACGTTTGTTAATTCATACAAAAGACAGCACTCTCAGGATTATGGACCTCAGAATGTAAGCTTTTTTTTTTTTTTTTTCCTGTACTAATAGAGCCTTTTTTTTCTTTTTGTTTGAGGCATTACAACTATAAAATCATTCTGTCATAAGATGCAGTGGGCATTTGTTTGTAACTGGCAGATTCCTTCCCACTCTAATTTTTTTTACTAATGTGACACAACATTTGCAGAAATATCCAACATGACTGATACCTATTGGCGACTCAGGAATGTCTGCTAAGGTGCTCCATTGTTGTCTGATCCTGCTAAATTTATAGGTATAAGAAAACTAATGCGGGCATTTTACACTGGTGTTTTTTTAGCCTTTGTGCTGCCTAATACTCCTTCCTTTGTAGAATGGGGCCTTGCATTTTACCCTTTATCAAAAACAGTTTCAGGTTGCAATCAAATAATACATCGTCAGTAACTATACATTAATAAGTATTTTGAAACAAATGTTATTCTTTAGCATCCATTGGGATACGAGGATATAGTAAACTATAGATGTGTGACTTATTTTGCTGCCTCCAGGAAGGTGGACAGTGACAGAAAAAAAAAAGTCCAACCCACTGTAATCCTCTGTGCTACCTTGGAGGACATATCCAGAACTCGCTTGACCAAGGATTGCAGGGCCTGTTGTTAATGTGACCCTGGGGTACTGGGCTCTGCTTGTGTCATTTCCCACCTAGTGTACTAGTTTGTTAGCTGCAGAGCCATGTCGCAGCCTCTGGTATGTACCAGTCTCTGAAGACTCATTCTGTGAGTAAGCCCATGGATGGGGCAAAGATATACTGGAATATGTCCTTCGGGCACTCACTCTACGTTATGGCGCTTTTCAGACCTGTGGGTACTGTGTAAGTCAACTGCAGAGCACCTTGTCAGTTTTAGAGCCGTGTTACAACCTCCAGGTTACCCAGTCTTTAGTATCTCCCTTTGACGCAGATATCTTGTTAAGTGGATCTGTTCTATAAGCTCTGCATGGGTCACTTTTCAGACCAGCACCTCCTGAACAAGTCATTCATCGAAATACATAGAACAAGGTTCAGCAGGTGATGTCGTCATACTGTTTTACAGTATCTAACCTGAGTGTAAGAACGAACCCGTGAATTACCACTAATAGATCGCATTTGAATGGGCTCCCAATGCAACACAATGAATCAGACCTGCATAATTTTTTCTAATGCAGCACACCACAATGCATGGTTGTTGGTTGCTGCAATGCAAACAAATCAAACAAATGCTGCAATGCAGATTTGTTTGTTTAGTGCACTTTAAATTAATTTTGCAGCATTATATAACGTGTGTTTTCATATGTTGCAGCAACCTGCTGTGTAATGCTTGTTTTTTTGCGTGTTACCGTAACACATAGGTCTAAGGGCAGGTTCACACCATTTTCCAGGCCAGATCTGGTCCGGAAAATGGTGTGAACCTACCCACAGTTGCAGTGCATTCCAGACCAGAGAAAATTGAGACATGCTATTATTTTCCTGCTTTGGTCTGGACGGACTGCGCTGGTGTGAACAGAGGCCAGAAATAGCATTGGGATTGCATACATTAGGATGCATTTTGGGTCTGGAAACAATCTGGTCTGGAGATGATCTGGATGTGGTGTGAACGGGTCCTGAGGGCTTGTTCACACCAAATCCAGACCAGATCTGCATGCGTTTCTGCATATGCAGTGCAGTGCATTTTTGACGTGTTCCATTCAATTTTTTTAATTTTTTTGTTGTGCCTAAAATGGGCTTTCAGTGCGTTCCAGGTCATTTGCATGCGTTTTGGTGCGTTTCATAGCAGAAAAAAATGGGCATGCTGCAGTTTTTCCACATGCTCTGGAACTGAACGATGTAGTGTGAACTAGATACCAAAATACCATTCGAATACATTGGATGCATTTTTGATGCATTCTGTAACTGTTCTGCTCTGCATCAGCTCCGCACTTGGTGTGAACAAGCCCTGCGTGGAACCTTAGTCCTATAATAAAGGAATGAAGTAAACCTATGCAAAACATACTACTTTACCTTAAATGTTTAATGCCTTTTATAGAAAGCAGAATTAAGACAACACTAGCATCAGTGTTACCAACGATTTCACTGGTGTGCCTTTAAAAATGTTTCAGAATTCTGAAATAATCTTCTCTAATGCTTTGTATTTTAGGTTTTACTGTATATCATCTATTATTACATTATTTACATTTGTATTTCGTTCATTAATATAGACCAAAGTGATGTGTTCCATATGTCTCAGTCTACTGTGTCACTAATTTTATGGTAGTATACTATTGCAAAACCTAATTCAACACACAAACATTACTGAACATTGTTTTGTTTTTACCATTTGCCTGGCCACAGATGCAGGCATTTTTGGTGACCAACCTTTTCTGTCACCTCTCACAAACCAAAACTCAAGCTAACTGGGTTTTTTATTTAATATAAAAGTCAATATAAACAGAAACTCCAGCTTTTTTTAAAAATTGCATCCCTTTCCAAAAGGGTAAAGTAATTATTGTTGGAGAGAATTAATCTAATAAGCATGTCAGCAACAGAGAGATCACAAAGTCACACTTTTGTTTTCTAAAAAAAGTTATAATTATGATGGCAATCAATGTTAGAATAATTATAAAATAATAATTAGTCTAAGGCTTCATTCACACCTACACTTTAGGTGCAATTTGGTATTCCCGCATCAGAAAATTGTGATTTTCCTGAACCAGGAATCCCAAATATGTCGTTTAGTGATCGATTTCTAATTCAATGTAACCGTATCGGATACTATTATTTGCGGTGTGCTGGCGTTCTGCTGCTTGCAAATGCTGTCACCCTATCATTAAAGTGACATTAAAGTAATTCCCCCCCCCCCTTCCCAATCCTGCTCTAGGGACATGCTTTAAATGATGTCTCTTAATCCGATCTTCTTTACTGTCCTTTTTTACTGTTGCTCCAGCGCTGGTGCGGGTCTCCGATCCAGCGCTGACTCCTCTGTGCTCCTCTTCTCTAATGTCCCAGGGTGTCTGTGCGGGTGCACGCTGCTCCATAGACTTGCCTTGTGTCTCTCCTCTGAAGTGCGCATGCTCCTGCCCCAAGATCCTTTGCGGCTGCCCGAGACTCTTCAGATGTGCGTACGGGAGCGCGCGGCGAAGACATGGGTAAGTATCAACCCTTTTTAAAAGTTCTTTTACATTTTTTTGAACGGGTGACAGCTGCCCCTTGTAAATGGAAAATGTGGGATTCCTGCTGCAGGAAATAGCATGTTCCTGATTCAGGAATACCAAATCGCACCTAAAGTGTAGATGTGAATGTAGCATGATTCATCCGATACCATGTATACTATTTTTTATTTAATATGGAAATCTATAATAAATGTTTATTTAGATTGGCAGCGAAAAAATATATTGGAGCAACAAATTACAAGGAGAAACTTCACAGTGCCTTTACACCATGTGGAACATTTGTCGTAGCAGGGAGTGAAGATGGGATGGCATATGTCTGGAATGCAGAAACGGGTAAGTTGCATTGCATGTTTGATGTTGTCTTGCTAATTATAAAATAGACTGCTTTAAATATGGAGGGATTGTTGTAGCACAGGCATCAATATACCAATTAAGGGTATGCATAGTGTAGGGTGTGTGATGTTCTACAAAGCTTAAGTATGAAGGCAACATAGTAGCGTCTGTGCATTACAGAGCTGTTTCTGCTCCGATTTAAGATTTTTCTGAAATTTTTTCCTCAGAGGTTAGATTCTAGACACCTTTCATTTTCTTTAATGAATGGAGCACAGATCTGCTGGCATACCACAAATTCATGATACTCAAAAGACTTACAGGTTATCTAATGTACCTCTTGCTCAAAACCCATTAGATCTATGTTGGTCCCTGATGTACCCTGATTTTAATGTATTCTGAACTTTAAAAATTGGCTTCAAGACATCCTATTTTGGTATTCTTGCCTTGCAGTCAGTGGCCTCTATACAGTTCTACATAGGCATAGCAAAATATCTTGGGGTGGGGGGTTGGCGTGATTTTATTTGTTTTCTTTCATAGCTAAACATCTTGGGAGGATCCCTATAAGTACAGCAAACGTCGGCTCTGTAGATCGAGAACTGAGCAATCACATACCACTGATCACTGGTTCCCAATCTTCTCCCTGCAGAGAGTGGAGACTGTCAGTCATCACTCCCCGCAGGTATTCCCTACTCCCCTCTCGGTTCCTCCAGTGCTCTTTGGGGGGATGGGCAGGGAGGTGTTAGGCACAGCTGTCAATCAGGTGCCGGGTGCATCCCGACTGCAGTGCTCATTGGAGGGATAGACAGGGGAGGGGACGAGCACAGGTGGCTCTACCTCTAGCGAGGCAGAGCCAACTGTCAGTGGCAGGGTGGATCCTGACAATATTGTCGGGAACTTTCCCGGCCTCAGCACGACTTTGTGCTGTCAGCAGATAGTGGGCAAAAACCTGATATATGGTGAATTTTGGGTCACAGAACTATGGCAAAAAAGGCTGTGCCATAGTTCTCCTTTTAATGTTAGGTATTTGCTCACCGCAAATTAAGAGGTAATATTTAGGAAATATATGCAAGTAGATGCTCACCCTTTTGCCTTGGCCATCTTAGTGACTTAAAGTGACATTAAACCCTCAGATTTTTTAACATAAACCAATACTGTAATGTGTGCCTTACTGTAATCCATGGTTGTTTCCCTTCTCTTTGCTGCTCTTCCTTTTAAATCCTCATGTCTTCTCATGCTCTGCAGAACTTCCCTTTGCAGCTCAGCGCCTCTTCCTGTAGTGCTGGCTCTGGTTACAAACGTACACACAGACACCATGTATCCATTCCAGAGACAAGGCAGTCTGCTGCAAAGGGAAGTTCTGCAGAGCATGAGAACAGATACAGATTTAAAAGGAAGAGCAGCAAAGAGAAGGGAAACAACCATGGATTGCAGTAAGGCACACATTACAGTATTGGTTTATGTTAAAAAATCTGAGGGTTTAATGTCACTTTAAGTTGTCCAGTATGTTGTAAAGGGTGTAATATATACAGGTGTTTTGCATTGAACATGACATGCCATGAAATAAATCTCATGAATTTGTATTAAAGATCATTTTCAGTTTTTTTGCATTTGTGACTCAGCAATTATAACAATGTAATAATTTTTTTTGAGTCTGTTTTTATGTAATATCTTTGCATTGGTTTGGACCGGTTCTTTTTTTTTTTTTGTGATTTATTTACATTCTGATTTTTTTTTTTTTTTTTCTAAATCTTTTCATGCATTCCATTACAGGCGATCAGGTAGCAAAGTATTCAGAGTTATCCTACACAGCCCCTCTTCGAGATGTTGCCTTTCATCCTCATGAACACATGGTTGCATTTTGTGCCTTTGGACCAAACCAGCCTATCCTTGTATATATTTATGACTACAAAGGTAGGTATCCATTCAAAGTATTGTTAGGGCCAGTCCTTTTTAAGAACTGATTGTATTCAGAAAATAGTTTCTAGGAAAAAATCTTGCTAAAAGAGTTCATGAAAGCTTACTAGAACAGAGATATAGTGTAAAAGCTAGAACAGAGATCTGGTGTGCTCTGTTTTTGTTTCCATCAAAGAAAGACAAAGAGAAAACATATATATTTAAACCAGGAAACATCCTCTTTTTAGTATGAAGACTGTTTAAATGATGCCAACTGGTTGCTGTGTTACTAAGGTTTAGTACTCTGAGTTGGCTCCTATTCAGCTAACTTTTACATCATATTGTGTGTTCTGCATTCATTGAGTATTCATTTGGCAGAGTGCAAGGCAATGTTTAACGAGCAAGGTAAATAGATTTTTTTTCAAGTGCATACACACACGGTTATAATCCATGTGTGTGTGTATAATATAAATGTATTTTTACACAGGACTGTCTCAAACAATCCTACCTTACAAAGTCCCAGCATTATCCTAGGTGTAGTTCTTTATTTAACCTCGGATGCTTATCAGCTGCAAACAAAAAATACTCATCCAGAAAAGAAAAAAAAAATCAATGCTCCTTCTCAGATCAATAAAATCCAGTAACAGGAAAAGAAGTATGCTTACCAGGAAAATCTCATTGTAACAGATACCAAACACAGTAGCACCACAGGGCCCAGCCAACAGTGGAGCTACAGATATATATCAAAACCAAATTTCCCTCCCTTTCTACCTTCTTCTTCCTTACCAGCCCTCTCTGAGGTGTGTTTTGTGGTAGCTGCTAAAGATTATAATGTGGATGTAAAGGTATGAATATATATTATGGGCGGCTTACTAAGCCTTGCAGCACTGGATTCCTTGGTTTGAGTCTCTGCCAAGACTGTGTGTGTGTGTGTGTGCACACACACACACACACACACACTTATATTCATGTTGTTAATTGACCCTAGCATGTGTGTACAAATTGGTTAAGCACGTGTATTATCACATTCTGTATGCCAGTCCCAATCCCATGAAAATGGAGAGGGTTGAGGAAAGACCCGGCGACCTACCTCGTAAAAATTCACCAGGAAAATTCTATGTAAAAATCGGTAAAGTGTATCCCAGAGAGCTTCCCATTGAATCATCGATGGCCACATACCACTGAATTTGCATATATTATTACAAATTTGTATATATAAAAACTAGGGATGCACCGATATATCGGCAGGCGAAACATATTTGCCGAAAATAGCACTTTTGGCAAAATGCTGAAAGTGCAATTTTTCTGCCAATATAGCGGCACATCCCTGCTTTCTCTCCTTCCTGCTAGGCGCTGCTCTGTGTCCCAGCGGGCAAGAGAGATACTGTCACAGGCGGCCGAGGGAGGAGAGTGCTGTGAGCGGCCGGCGTCTCTCCTCCCCACACCGATCAGCCTCCTGTCATAGATCAGAGGAGAGCGGTGTGTGGGGGCAAAGACAGCCAGCGCTGTCACAGGAGGCCGGCGGTGCAGGGGAGGAGTCTGCTTTCAGATCGAGCTCTACTCCCCGCACTGCTCCTTCAGCCTCCTGTGACAGCTGTCAGGAAGGAGAGTGAGTACAAACACTCAGCGATCAGTTATTGCTGAGTGTTTGTAAATAATTGAGGACATGGTATGTTTACTATAGCCTCAATCATGAATGAATGCAAAGTGATCTACATCACCTCCTGTTCATTCCTGATTGTGTTTATAGTAAACACTAGGGATGTCCCGATACCACTTTTCAAGACCAAGTACTTCCCCTCATGTACTTGCCGATTTAATTACCGATACTTTTGACTTTAAAAGTATCACACACAGTTGACTTTAAATGATCCGTAGAACAACTACATGTTATATACTATGGATCATGATTGAACCTATTCATGTTAGCAGGGGAGAATTGTAAATCTATTGCTGTAATGTAGTGGAGGTGTGTGCTGTATATATGTACTACATATACATTACACATGTCCAGTACACTATAGCAATAGATTTACAGCCAGCTTCCCTCACTCAGTTTCACTCCGATCTCTGTTGCCTCACGAACCTCTCATAGTCGGAGCTGGGCAGGATCGCTGCATCATGTCTCGGTGCTCACAATTCTGCCCTGTTAACATAAATAGGTTAAATCATGATCCATAGTACATATACAGCACACACGTCCATTACACTGCAGTAATAGAGTTACAATTATCACCTGCTAACATGAATAGGTTCAATCATGATCCATATGACATAATAGTACATAACATGTAGTTGTACTATGGATCATTTAACCTATTTATGTTAGCAGGAGATAATTGTAAATCTATTGCTGCAGTGAATTTGGAATATGTACTGTACATGTACTTTACATGTACTACATATAGAATACACTGCAGTAATAGAGTTAAAATTATCCCCTGCTAACATGAATAGGTTAAAGGATCCATAGCGCATATTATGTACATAGCATGTAGTTGTACTACGGATCATTTTAACCTATTCATGTTAGCAGGTCAGAATTGTAAATCTACTGCTGTATATGTAGTACATATACAGTACATATAGAATGCACTGCAGCAGTAGATTTACAATTCTGACCTATGTACTATGGATCATTTAACCCCTCCATATTAGCAGTGCAGAATTGTAAATCTATTGCTGCAGTGCATTCTATATGTAGTACATGTACAGTACATATAGAATACAATGCAGCGGTAGATTCTTCTTGTTCACACAAAACACTAAGCCCAGGCCCGTCTTACTTACTGTTGCCTCGATCGCGGTGCCTCACGATTTTCCTCACATGTGAGGACGTCGGCGGCGCTGAGCAGAGGAGCGTTGCGTCACTGCTGTGGGCGGTCCTCCAGGTGAGGTCCTCTGGGCAGTGGCCGGCCACCTACATTAGTACCCCACCCCACAGCAGTGACGCGACGCTCCTCCGCTCAGCGCCGACGACGTCCAAACGTGTGAGGAAAAGCATCCGGCACCTCGGAAGGTACAGAAAAAAAAACAGCGCAAGCATCGGCGCTATGCATCGGGGCATTTTGATAAGTACTGGTCAAAATGCCCTGTATCGGTCCCGATACCGATGCTAGCTTCGGTATCGGGACATCCCAAGTAAACACACTATATCCACATGTTATAAATGAACAGGAACACTCAGTATAAAGGATTCCTGTCCTTTATATCTGGGGCTGCAGATAAAAAGATTGAGGCCTCTGTGTTCTCAGTCTCTTTTTCTATTTTAAAAGGGAAATATCAGGTATTCTGACTCCGATCGTTGTGATAGCGAAATATATCCCTCGCTGAGACCTCTATGCCTGGCCTGTATAAGCAGATATACTCACTGCGGACAATCCTCGTCAGATAGCTGAACTCGTCAATACCGATTCATTCAAAAGAGGTGTTTATTCTTTACATCAGGATTACAGCAGATGATAGGAACAGCAGTAGGGGTCTATTTTTAGACCCCTTATTTTCCCTGAAGCCCCTAAAAGTAAAGTAAAAAATACAAATATTTAATAAAAATAAAATATAAAAAAATGTAAGTTTATAAAAAATTAAAATATTTAAAACATTTTTGGTTTCGGTATCGGCCCGACATTTTTTTCATTTCGGTTTAGACATTTTAATTTTGGTGCACCTCTCATAAAAACACACAATGACATACAGTATATAGTTGGTCTTTAACTTTCTTAATGAGTTCTGCTTATTGTTTATTTGAAAATCTAATTTTCTTTTGAATTTGTTTAGTTGCCCAGCTTGAGGCAGAATCGGCGCACAGTGATGTCAGGGGTTATAGTCATGCTGATATTTTCACGCTTCAAGATTCTATCATTGCTGCAAAATCTTCTATGCGGATGAAGAGAGTAAAACAAAAACTGGATTCAGTTCTGGTATGTTTCCCATATATCTCATATCATTTTCAGAAGCACAATTATGTTATACTTTGCAGGTATTATGTTTATAATATTACACTAAATGGCGGGTCATAGATGAATGGGGGTGGGGGGGGAGGCTTTCCAGCACATGTGTAAAATCTTGAAAGAGAGAGTGTAATATTTCTCCACCTAGACTGAGCTCAGACAGTCCTTGTCTTTGCCCCCCCCGACTTCTTCCCCTTCCTCCAGAGATACCAGTGATCCCAGCTGGCACATCTTTCTCCTGGTTTGACTAAGGACGACCTGTCTAACACTGTGTCATATTTTTTTTGGACCCTCACTGCTTCCATTCTGCGTCCATCTCCCCTAAGCTAAAGCTGATGAATTCTGAGTTGGTGGACACAGTGAAACACTGATTATTACCCATATTTTTGGTAAAATATAAAAGACGGGGTCACGTCTGGTAAATAGACACCAAACGTGTCAAGCTTAAAAATTGCGCGCACCCGTGAAATCGCAAAAACTACCATAACCAAAATTGACCTTAGGCGACGTTTGAAAAGCTTTTAGAGCTCATCAGTTTAGTGTTATCAGTGATTGATGGCCCTAAAATTATTGCTCTCACTCCGACGTTCGTGGCCATATGTAACATGTGCGGCGTAATGGGCGCAATTGTCGTTTTCGCAGGTATGCGCACCTGACGCATGTTTGCATGCGTGTATGTATGGGCTGGCAAAACAGATGACAAACGCACTCATCAATTCGTCACCAGCTTTACATTAAGGTGCACACAAAATGGGCTTTAAACAGTAAAATAGCAAAAAGTTTTCCTGGCACACTCGCAAGCTAGCATGTAAAAAAACTTGTCTCACACTAAGGTTAAAAACAGAGGTTTGGATACACGTCTTCTGCAGAAAATGTGAAAGCCGCACAGCCGCGCCAAGGCACCTCTTATAGCGCGGTCCTAACTCTAAACTATCAGAGCTTCCATCTTGGAGCACATGGAGCAGAAGATAAAATTGGGTGCAGGTTTGTCAGGAGGAAGCCCAAGACAAGTTTTTTTTACATGGTAGCATGTGAGTTTGCCAGGAAAACTTTTTGGTATGTATGGGTGGGGACTTTAAAAAATTATTTGGAAACTTTAATTTTTTTTCATATTTATTTTTTCACATTTTTTTTTCCACTTGACTTTATTGCTATCAGGGCGCTAGGAAACCCCCCTATGTGATAGCAAAA